CACTCCTCCGCTTCTGCTCTGGAGGAGGCCTTGGGACCGCGTGTCGTCTGCAGCCAGCCGAGGCTCACTTCAGCCCTCACGTCTGGCCTGGGGGCCTCCCGGTCTGATGGCACCGTTCTGAGGTATGATGGGCGGCTCTGGTGTCGGCCGGGCCTTGTTGCTCTGTGCTCCCTCGTCTCCGTGGGAGTTGTCTTGGGTTTGCTGCAGCTACAATGGCCTGGTATTGAAATGGCCCTTCATGAAACCGACCAAGAAAGGCAGGAGTGATGGAGGCGTCCCTTGGTGTGGGAACTCCCCTCTGTTCTTCCCGTGGGGCCGTTCCGTGTCCCCGGCACTCCAGAGGGGGAGCCCACTGGGACCGGGGAGCCAGCCTCCCGCCCCGGCCTTCACGGGCGCTGTCCGAGGTCTTGGCTATTGTACTGTGAGGTCCTTGGCTAGAGCAGAGGGCAGGCGGACCAAGGCCTCCCACCGTGGGTGTCCAGCCCTTCAGCAGCACCACGCATCCTGCCTACCCTGTCTCTAGCCCCAAACACCTTCTGTAGACGTACCCTAGGCCAGTGCTGAGAATCCTGCTCAGGACGGACTGGAGACCAGAGCCCAGCCTCCCTTGGGATCCTCTGCGGCTGAGGGTGACAGAGCCAGGACCTGGTCCCTGGCCTAGTGCACACCCGCCTTCCCTGTGGAAGCCCTGAGCTGGATTTGTCCTGGGTAGATGCCCCACTGTGGCCCGGCCAGGGCCCTGGTAATTAGCACTTGTCCTGGCAGAGTCTGGATCTAGGTCACTGCCCCCAATTTAAAATTGGAACGGAAGTTCCCAAATGAAGGCGGAGGAGTGCCTGCCCTGTGGTCCTGGGATGGAGCAGGTCCGCGCCCCGCCCCCGCCCCCCACCCGGCTTTCACAGCACGTGTCTTGTCTTGAGCATGCCCTGCCCCTTCCCTCTGACTCTGGAGGCTGGTGTGGTTACGGTGCTCTCTGTCATGCCGCAGCTAGAAAGTCCATGTCTGAGCATCGTGGGCTGCCTTTCCAGCCCTTAGAACAGCCTGGCCTGGGGCAGAGATGGAAGGGCATTGGCTGGGTACACCAGCACAGAAGCAGAGGGGGGAGCAGCTCGAGCCTCCTTGGAGAGTGGCGTGGGCCTGTCTCCCAGGCCAGGGACTGCCCTGCTCTGCCGGTGCAGATAGGCCAGAGGGGTAAATCAGATGTGGAACAGAACTGGAAACCTGTCACCCCTGCCCTCCCAGAGAGGCACGGTCATTCCCCGGCAGGCCTTGGCTCCTTGTTGCCCCAGAACCAGCATCTCAGGCCGGGAGGCGGCCAGCTTGAGGCCCCCATCTCTACTCTGGGCTGCTAGAAGGGGAGGTGGGGCTGTGGGAGCCACACTGCAGGACACACCCACACCCCTAGCAGGACCGTGAGGTAGTCCCCAGAGTGCTTGGCTCCTGCTTTCCCCTGAGTCTGGGCTCCGAGCCCCCACCGGGCGCAGTTCTGCCCCGCAGGTGCTTGCTTCCGTCACCCTGGTTTGTTAAGGGGGAGCAGGAGAAGAGAGCATGGGCATGCTGCAGGAGCTCGAGCCTACAGCCCCCGCTGCGCAGGAGGCTGAGATCTGAGCACTGCAGTTGGAAGTTGGTTGGCCCAGACAGAAAATTCCTTCAGTCACTCTATCTAATTAACCAGCAAGAAGCAGGGAGGGAAGTGTGGCTGAAGGGATATGAGTGGAAAGGCTGAATGAGAGCACAAGGCCCTGAATTCAAGCAGCAGTGCACACGCACGCACGCACACACACACACACTCACACACACAGGAAAAGAGATGCCCTGGCCCATTTCCCAAGGGAAGTTCAGCAGTGCAGGGTTGTGCACTGGTGTCGGCTGGCGAGAGCTGGGGGCGTGCCTGACTGGGCACCTGGCTGGGCACCTCCCAGGGACAGCAGCTGTGTGCATGGGAGCCCACTGCTGTGCTTGCTTAAATACCACCCGGCCCAGAGGCCCACGGGATACCACGTCCACACCGTCCCAAGAGCTGGGCTGGCCTAGGCAGTGGTGGTACATGCTTGTAATTGTAGCACTCAGGAGACTGAGGTAGGAGGATTGAGAGTTTGAGGAGCAAGACTGTATCGGGGGCAGGGGAGGCGGGGAGGAGGAGCTAACCAGTGAAAGGATACCCAGGATCTCAATAATATCCTTTGTAATGCGCTCATACTGAAAGAGCACATTGCAGATATATTGGTTACACAAAGTACATCAAAATTCTCTTGTAGGTAGGCCTGGTGGCTCATTCCCGTCATGCTAGCCGCTCGGGAGGCTGAGCTCTGAGGATCGCGGTTCAAAGCCAGCCCGGGCAGGAGCGTCCGTCAGACTCTTATCTCCAGTGAACCACCAGAAAATCGGAAGTGGTGCTGTGGCTTAAAGTGGTACAGCGCTTGCCTTGAGCAAAGAGCTCAGGGACAGCGCCCAGCTCCCGAGTTCAAGCCCAGAGGAAGTGACAGCTGTATAGTTCAGGCTAGCCTCAACTCGTTAGTCCTCGGTGCCCAGGGCCTTAGCCCCTGAGCGCAGCGAGTTGCAAGAGTGTGCCACTGTGCCTGGACCTGTGCTGTGCTGCCCGGCCGAGCTTCCAGCCCTGCCAGCCCTTCTGTAAAGGGCCTGGCTCTGGGGCGTGTGATCTCTGAAAGTAGCCACCTATGTAAGCAAGCGAGCATGGCCACCATGTACAAAAGTGTTTAGACCCTGCAGTTTGAATTTAATAACTTTTACCTTTTGATTTTTTTCTAGCCATTAAAAAAATGTAAATGTTGGGCTAGGAAGGTGGCTCAGTGGTAGCACGCTTGCCTTACACGCATGAGACCCTGGGTTCGGTTCTTCAGCACCACATAAGCAAAAAGAAAAAAGCCGGAAGTGGTGCTGTGGCTCAAGTGGTAGAGCGCTAGCCTTGAGCTGAAGAGCTGAGGGACAGCACCCAGGCCCAGAGTTCAGGCCCCACGACCGGACCCAAAAAAAAAAAAAAAAGACAGTGACACACACACACACACACACACACCCCTACCTTCAAGACAGTACCACACACGCACACACCTACCTCCAAGACAGTACCACACACACACACCTACCTCAAAGACAGTACCACACACACACACACACACACCTACCTCCAAGACAGCGGTGTTGCTGCCGAGTTGCCTTGTTTGTGCCCCTGGCGTCACGGCCACGTCCTCACTGCAGACCCCACGCCATGCGGGTCCTGCTCTGTCGGTGGGGGAGCTGAGCAGCCAGGGTCTTAGGGAGGTGCTAGGCCAGCCGCGGCCAGTTCCTTGGGAGAAGTTGCCCCTCGGACTCTGAGTGAGAAAACCATCAGGTGAATTCGCTGTTGCCCAGGGCACCCAGCTGGTTCTAACTGGAGCCAGGTGGCGAGACACCACAGCCCCCACTGGGCCTGGAGCACTGGGAACATTGAGCAGACCTGGGATTCGTGCCACTGATCCCCCAGGCATCCGGAGCTGGCGTCCCCAGGCCTCTCGTGCACCAAGGACACGTCCCAGCCCCTCGCCTACCTTCCCTAGCTCCATCTTGGTACCAGCGTGACTGAGTCAGAGAAAGGGCTGATGCTGAGTGTCAGCAGCGTGAGGACCGCTCTGATCAGAGCCTGAGAGAGTGCTGACCTACCCATGGGAGAGCAGCCCAGACGCCCACCTTGGCCCACTGCCCTGGAAGGAAACCCTACTGACCTAGGATCCGCATCCATGGGTCAGCTTCCCAAGTCCCAGTGAAGGGACTCAGTGCTTTGCTTGGTTTCATTCCTCACAGTCAGCTTTTGTGAAATGGCCATTTCTGTGACACACACAGTCCACCTGCTGAGACTCCAGCTGAGATCCAGGCCCTGGAGGGAGACCAAGAGGCCTGGCCCATGCCCGCGGCCATGGGCAGCCTCAGGTCCCTTGTATTTCCTGGGGCTGGGTCAGGCCGGGGACTGTGGTTGGCATGGTCAGCTGCCATCTGTAAGGCTCAGCTTAGCCCCAGACACCCTGGGTTTCTTCTCTCTTTCTTTTCTTTCTCTTTCTTTCCCTCCTTCCCTTCCTTCCCTTCCTTCCTTCCTTCCTTCCTTCCTTCCTTCCTTCCTTCCTTCCTTCCTTCCTTCCTCTTTTGGTCAGTTGTGGGGGCTTAACTCTGGGCCTGGGTGCTGTCCCTCAGCTCTTCAGCTCATTGCTAGCGCTCTACCACTGGAGCCACAGCGCCACTTCCAGCTTTTTTCTTTTTGCTTGTGTGTGCTGAGGAATGGAACCCAGGGCCTCATGCACGCGAGGCCAGCACTCCACCACTGAGCCACTTCCCAGCCAGGGCCTCATGCACGCGAGGCCAGCGCTCCACCGCTGAGCCGCCTTCCCAGCCCCGAGCCCCCTGGGTTTCCTCTTCCTTCAGTGGCTCCAGGCATCTCTGAGGCTGACGAGACTGCTGCTTCTCCCTCACTTCTCCTTTCTTTGGCTAAATGCTTGCTTGTCCCTTCCCTCTGTACTGAGGCCACGCTCGTGGGTAAGGTGGGTGGGTCCTGGGACAGGTGGGGCAATGTCCCGGGCCCCCGGGTGTGCTGCGGGTCAAGCATCTGTCGCTGTGGAGGATGCTGACTTTCAGCCTCCAACCCCTGCCCCCTGGTGACGTGGCTGTGAGGGGAGCCTCGTGGTCAGCCCTGAGCCCTGCCCCTGCCCTGCTCCCTTTGCCCACCCCTGGTGGCGTGGCAGGCTGGGACACCCTCCCAGGGCCTCTGGGCTCGGTCTGTGAATCACACTGTGTCTTCTCTCTATTCTCTCTCTGTTTATCTCTGTTGTTGTGTCACCGACCAGCCAGCAGCCTGTCTCCGGCGTGGGCACTCTTCCCTCTCCATGCTCCCGTTGGTGCGCAGTTGGCCAGAGGTGACCAGGCCTGGCTCTCGGCGTGGCCACTCTCAGCGGGGCCATGGGGAGCTCTGCCTCCTCCCTGGCCACCGAAACCGAGTCGGACCACGGCTTCCCCAGGGGGCCCCCCTACTCGGGGCCCCCTGCAGCAGCTGGCTGGTGTAGGAGCGGCCCCGGGGGAACTGTCTGGGGGAGTGCCCTGGTCGCCAGACAACACACACGTCCCCCCCGGGCCCGAAGGTAAGAAGGCGGGAAGGGCTGTCTCTGGACAGAGGGGTCCTGGACAGGAGGGCTCCTCCTTGGCAAGGTGCTTGCTCAGAATCCAGGCACTGGAATCTCACACCTGTCATCCTAGCTCCTCAGGAGGCTGAGGACGGAGGATCACAGTTTGAAGCCAACTTGGGCAGAAAAGTCCATGAGACTCTTACTTCCAGTTAACCACCAAAAAGCTGGAAATGGAGGTGTGACTCAACTGGTATAGTGCCAGCCTTGAGTGGGAAAGCCAAGCAAGAGAGTGAGGCCCAGTCCTGGTGCGTGTGTGTGCACATACGTGCCTGACATACACGCACAGTGTTTGCTTTGAATTAGGATTCCTGTTTCTCAAGCCAGCCACTCTGGTAGTTCGCTCCTCACCTGAGGTACGGTAGAGCTAAGAAACGGATTATCTCTACTATTGGCTGAGCAAATCTGGAACCCTGTCCTCATCCCGGGATGCTTTGCCTAGCCCGCCACTGGGCAGTGCTTCCCATGGCCAGTGGTGCTCTGAAAACTGTCTGGAGACCCTTTCAGGTCACCGGCCGCCAGCGCTGGCCCCTGTGGTCAGTGAACCAGGAGTGCCAGTGTGCTGCCTCAGGTCCTCTGGGGGCTGCTGCTCCTGGGCTGTGTCTACTGCTCCCACATGGCTGCCTGCAGGGAGGCATGAATCTGCATTTGCTTCGGGGACCTCCACCGGCCGGGCTCCCTCCTGCGGAGGGGGGGCCTGAGTCCCGGGCAGAGTCTGCAGAGGTAGCTCTGTTTTCTGGGTGCCAGCCCTGCCCCTGCTGTAGATGGCCCACCCGGCCCTTGCCGTCTGCTGCGTGTGGGAAGGGCAGACATAGAGGTGCCGGGTGCGAGATGGGCCTCCTGGAGTAGCTTGAGCACCGAGGTCTGAGCCCCTGGCTAGAAAGGCCCTGGAGGAGGTCACAGTCCTTAGGAAAGTCCAGAAACTGAATTACTTAAGTAGATGGGAGCCATTGGGTGTTCAAAGTTCACAGCTGTGCCAGAGGCTCTATTCCATGTGTGCGCGCGTGTGCGCGTGTGCGTGCACATGCGATGCCAGGGCTCTGTTCCATGTGTGTGCGCGTGTGCATGCACATGTGATGCCAGGGCTCTGTTCCATGTGTGAGTGCACGTGTGTGCGTGCACATGCGATGCCAGGGCTCTGTTCCACGTGAGTGCGCATGTGTGCGTGTGCATGCACATGCGATGCCAGGGCTCTGTTCCATGTGTGTGCGCATGTGCATGCACATGTGATGCCAGGGCTCTGTTCCATGTGTGAGTGTGTGAGTGCACGTGTGTGCGTGCACATGCGATGCCAGGGCTCTGTTCCATGTGTGTACGCGTGTACATGCATGTGTGAGAGAGACAGAAGAGGGAATACTAAAAATTAACCTTCAGTTTCTGTCATTGGTGCCACAGTGCTCCAAGGAAAGCCTTGGGGGTGTGTGGTGCTAGGGTTTGAACTTGCCCTTCCACAGAACAGGCAAGCACTCTGCCACGGATTCACACTTCTGCCCTTTTGCTTTCTTGGGAGATAAGGTCTTGAGTCCACCCTGGACTTTAGCTTCTTACGTAGCTACAGTGAAAGGCACAAGCTCACACCCAGTTTTTATTGACTGAGATCAAATCTCCCAAACGTCTCACACAGGCTGCCCTTGAACCATGATGTTAACCGTTTAGCCTCTTGAGTTGCTAAGCTTATAGGCATGAGTCACCTTGCCCAGCACCATGTCTTTTATTACTTTTTTTGCCAGTCCTGGGTCTTGAACTCAGGCCCTGGGCACTGTCTTGAGCTGCTTTTGCTCAAGGCTAGCACTGTGCCACTTGAGCCACAATGCCACTTCACCAGCTTTTTCTGTGTGTGTAGTACTGAGGAATCAAACCCAGGGCTTCATGCATGCTAGGCAAGCACTCTACCACTGAGCCACCTTCCTTCCCAATCCCTCCATGTCTTAAACAGCTTTTTTGAGATATGGCTTTGTATAACATCAGATTCACGGGGGCTGGGAAGGTGGCTCAGTGGTAGAGTGCTTGCCTTGTATAACTGAGGCCCTGGGTTCGATTCCTCAGCACCACATAAGCAAAAAGAAAAAAGCCAGAAGTAGTGCTGTGGCTCAAGTGGTAGAGCGCTAGCCTTGAGCTGAAGAGCTGAGGGACAGAGTTCAGGCCCCACGACCAGACTCCAAAAAAAAAAAAACCCAACAGATTCACCTCTTGTAAGTTCAGTCATTTTCAGTTATTTCCTAACTGTACAAACATCACAAGCCAGTGTATAACATCTCTGCACCCCACAGAGATTACATCAGTTTGCTGGCCTGCTTCTCATCTCCAGGTTTGCCTTCCCTAAAAACTTCTCACAACGGGAGTTGCAGTGTCTAGCCTGGGTGTGGCTTCCACAGGAGCCTGTTCACTGCACACCACCCCTCTGCCTCCGGTGGACAAGTGAACGCAGTGTGCTACAGCGTGTGTGGATTTCACCCCTTGTCTGTGGATGAAGCTAGACCACCCTTGATTGTCTGCTCACAGACGCTTGTAAATAGCTCTTTGACCCTTCGTGTTAAATGTTCGCGTGGACATAGGTTTTCGTGGTCTTAGATGGGTCCCTGAACTGGGGTTGCTGGATTTGTGGTGAGTTATGTAACATTCAGAGAAGCTGCGTGCTGCTTTCCCGGCAGCTCTGTCGTTTTTGTTTCCACCGGCAATGTCAAAGTGTTTCTGTTCCCTGTCTGGACGCTGCTTCTAATGGCCTGGCTTAGTCTGTTCTCCGGTCCTGGAGGTGTGTGGTGACATCCTTGGTCTGGCTGGGCGTGCTGAGCATCTTGCGTGTTTTTGTCCACCTTTATAAGTTTTCTTATTTCCATTCATGTCTGTTAGAAGTAGACTTGCTGGCCCCGGCCGTGGCTGGCTGTCTGCAGGCCAGCGCTAAGGCCGCGTTGGCAAGAGGCACACCAGCCAGCGACGCCACTCGCTTGTCACATGGGTGAATGGTTTTCCCTTTCTCTTTTACTATGTTCACGTGTACAAATGGAACTTGGAGACTTTTAACTCCTGAACTAGGGTCATCAGACATGTCCTTCTGGAGTGAGGGAGGGGAAGGCTTGGCGCGCCCCCCCCCCGCTGCCCGCTGGGCCCACCTGTGCTGACAGGCAGGTAGGCTTGGACCTGCGACGTGGACACGGGCACCATGGGAAGCAGGCAGTGACGGGCTGGTGGGAGCCCTGCCAGCCTCTCCCAGGCCCCTCCTCCCACCCCCACGCAGCGGTCCAAGCCCCCTGAGCCAGCCCTCGTGTCGGGAGCCTGCCGTGTCTCATCAGCAAGCAGGGAGGAGGGCACACCCCACCTAGGAGAGTGGCTTGGTGCCTTCCTTACCCCAAGGTGACCTTGAAGGAAGAATGCCCTCCACCGGGAAAAAAGACTTCAGGTGCAGTCTGCCTTGGGGAGCAGCTGCTGACCTGAACGCAGCACCCTCCAGAACGGTGAGTCAGACAAAGGCTGGGTAGTGGACAGGCGCTGCACCTGTCTCGTGGCATGGCCTGCCAGACTGGCCACAGGGGAGATGAAAGGGCTTCAGCCAGGGTCCTGCGCGGGTGCTGTGGGGGACACCACACACCTCGCTGGCTCCTCCCAAAGGGGGAGGTGTCTCCAGGGCTGCCGTGCACACGGGTCTCCGGCCCTCCCATGTGTAGGCCAGGAGCTCACAGCCTCCCTGAGAATTGGAGCTGAGGTGGGCCCACCAGAGCAGGGCCCTGCTCCCTGCGGACCTCCTGCAGTTCCTGGGGGTGGGGTGGATTCCTTGTGTCCTGCCGCGCAGGTGCCTCAGGTCCGACTCCACGAGCTTCATGAGTTAGGCGCACTTTGTGTTAAGGATCATAAAGAATCTTTAAACTTTGTTTCTTCATTTCCGGTGCTAGGGATCAAAACCAGTGCCTCTCCCGTGCTAGGTGGGCACTCTGCCTGGGAATGACACCCTAGCTCTGGTTGGAGAATTCAAAAAGGCCTTTGCCACCTATCTAAGGTTGGTCTGATCCTTCAGCTCCAGATGCAGGCTTTGCTTTGCAGGCCTTGCCTTCTGCTGCATTAGGAGTTTCAGGCCTGGGTCCTGTCCCATCTGCCCACCCCAGATACAGAGGCCTTGGAGGCCCACAGCTCAAAGCCAGCCAGGCAGATGCTGTAGGAATCCCTAGTACAACGGCCTCCTCTGGCAGCAGCAGGCCGTCGAGTGCCGTCCAGTCTATCTTGTTTATCAGGTACTGTCTTGGTTGAAATCCGCCCATGCCACATAGGGAATCATTCGATCGTGTGTGCCCTGCCTCCCCTCCTCCAGGTGTGGGCACCATGCTCCAGTTCAGCTAGGCCCAGGGGAAGCCGTGGCCACACAGACTGGCTCCTGGGGTCAGTAGGGACCCGCACGCTCTCCTTTCCAGTGCTGTGTGTTTGGTCGTTTGTTGTGTGTTTTTGTCAGTCATGGGGCCTGGGCACTGTCCCTGAGCTCTTTTTGCTGAAGGCTAGTGCTCTACCACTTTGAACCACAGCGCCACCTCTGGCTTTCCCATGGGTTAACTGGAGATAAGAGTCTCTTAGACTTTCCTGCCCAGGCTCCTGAGTGGCTTGGGGCAGGCATGAGCTGCCAGCGTCTTTGAGGCTCTTCCTAGGTCTGTGCCAACAAGTAGGGTACCTCCCTGGAGGAGCTCCTAGAAACTGCGTGGGGCCCAAGTCTTCTCTCTGGAGACGCCTCCTGGGGAGTGGGCTGCCCCGGGGTGTCCTGCATGGCTGTGCTGAGAGGAGGCCCACTGTGGGTGCTTGTGTGTTGGTGGAGGTTTTTGTAGAACATGGACTCCGAGGGAGCTTTGACCAAGAATGGGTCTCCGTATGGGGGAGGTGAGAGGCTTGGGGCTTTTCTGGGTACAAAGGCCCAAGTCAGACCTGACCCACCTCTGGTTCAGGCCCTGAGCCCAGCCTAGTGCAGCTACCAGACTGCGGCCCCAAGGCTCTTAGAAAGCCCCCTTGTCCCTTTGGGTCTTCTGTGGTAAGGAAGACTGCCTGCCTTCCTGCCAGCACTCAGCCCAACCATGGGAGGAGCAGCCCAGGCAGCTTCGGGAACAATTGTGGTGCTTGGTCGAACTTGTTTCACTGATTCTTCTGAAGAGGCCAGTTTTCTTTCTTCCTGAACCAAGAGGGCCAGAGGCACATGCTTTGTACCTCCATGTAAAAAGCAATTGATTTCCCCACAAAGCAGAGTAGTGGGTGTTGGTTTGAGACTAGGAGTTTGGAAATGCCTTGGTGGTTTTCACCCTGCAGCCCACATAGGCCCAGCCCCCTCCCCACCCACCCGGGTGCCCTCACCTCCTGCCCTGGGGACTGCATTCCACGTCCACCTCCACTGTGGGAGGAAGGGTGTGGCATGTCGCAGGTGGGACCTGGTGCCCGACCCTGGGCAGCCTCCACACGGCTCGGCAGTGTGTGATGGGGGTGCCAAGTCTGCGGGGGCACTTGCGCAGCCCCAGGGGCTAGGGCCCACAGGGGCACCCATGCCCCGCCGTGGACGGGGTGTCACTGTGCCAAGGATGCTCTGGGCAGATGCGTTAGACCCTCTGTCTCTGATGGCAACACCCCTGCCCTCCCAAGCTCCGGGCGGAACTCAGCCTGACCCCAGTGGTCCACATTTCTCGTCTCTGGCCCTGCGGCTGTGGACGGCCGCCTTCCCAGGGAAGGGTGACATCCGGCGACTCACAGCACGGTGTGGCGCCCGCTGACCAGCCCCTTCCTTGCAGCCACACACACTCGCCCGGGTCTATGGCCACAGCCGGGGAGTGGTCCTGTGCGCGCTGCACCTTCCTGAACCCTGCCGGCCAGCGCCAGTGCTCCATCTGCGAGGCCCCCCGGCACAAGCCCGACCTCGACCACATCCTGCGGCTCAGCGTGGAGGAGCAGAAATGGCCCTGTGCCCGCTGCACGTTCCGGAACTTCCTAGGCAAGGAGGCCTGCGAGGTGTGCGGCTTCACTCCGGAGCCCGTGCCCGGGGCCTCCCTGCTCCCCATCCTCAACGGCGTCCTACCGCGGCCGCGCGCCGCGCCTGCGCCCGCGCCCGCGGAGCCCGAGCGCAGCTGCCCGGAGGAGCCGGCCGGGGGCGCGCGGGACGCGGGGAAGGAGCCGGCCGCTGAGGAGGCCGCGGCCGAGCCCGGGCGCGGCTGGGCTTGCCCGCGCTGCACCCTGCACAACACTCCGGTGGCCAGCTCCTGCTCGGCCTGCGGGGGCCCCCGGAAGCTGTCGCTGCCGCGCATCCCCCCAGAGGCCCTGGTGGTCCCCGAGGTGGTGGCCCCCGCGGGCTTCCACGCCGCCCCTGCCCCGCCCCAGCCCGACCTCCTCGGGAGAGGCCCAGAGCCCGACCCCCGCTCCGCGGACCCGGAGCCCCCCAAGGTCCCGCCCTTCGGCCCCTTCTCACCCACCCTGCAGAACAATCCCGTGCCCCGG